TTTTTTTTTTTTTTTTTTTTGGATCCGTTTCTGAGGGAAGCGCAGAAATTCAGACTGAAAATTAGAAAATAAAATCTTTTTTATTTTCGTTGATTTTTATTTCTAGAATCAAATCGAATAGAATAGATCTTCCTTCATAGAGCGGGGAGGCCTAAAGGAAGCAGGTTCATCTAATAATAAATATAGAAATAAGAAATCTAATTAAACTTTCTAGCAGAGCAGAAAAAAAAGTTCTTATTTTAATGAATTTTAATCTTTAATAAATATTTGGCTTCATTTATTGTTTGGATTCTTTTTTAAATCCTCTGTTGGTCCAAAAGGTTCTGATCTTTGGCTTCAGAACCGGAACTTTTTACAGATTCTGTTCAGCCGCGTTTGAACGGAATCTGAAAATAATCCAGAATCTGAAAATAATCCAGAATCTGAAAATAATCCAGAATCTGAAAATAATCCAGAATCTGAAAATAATCCAGAATCTGAACAATATTTTATCGGGAGATTTTTGATGATTTAGAAAATGTAACATTTCCATTGATCTATTTATTTAGGCCTGTTATTATATTTATAATTTATTTGTGTTTAACATTTTTTTTATTCTCCTTTTATTCAGAATTGTATTTATTTCTGTAAAAATATTGAGCAGAAATTTGTCTTTTCAAAGTAATAATCCATATGACAATAATAATGTAATAATAAGCATTATTTAGCATTTTAATGTTATTATTATTATTATTCAGGTAAATGTTCTGCCTGTGAGCTGATGGGTTCTGGTTCGGTTCCGGTTCGGTTCTGGTACCTGAGGCAGTTTGGGGTCGTTGATGTCCCAGGTTAACTTCATCCCCACCGAACACACGCAGTCCGCCTCGTCGCGCTGCTCCGCCCGGGACATGCTCCCGGTACCGGTACCGGCTGCTCGGCTCCTGCTTCCGAACCCTGGTTCCGATCCCGCTCTGACTCTAAGGCGGCCCGGTCAGAACGAACCGAACCGAACCGAGGAGGGCGGTCTGCTGCTGGAAGAGGAAACTCCGCGCGGCGCGTGCAGCAGGTAGAAGTGAGGACAGGTGAGGGAGGCG